GCTTAAAATGACCTATATATAAACCAGCATTTGCTTTAACTTCCAATGTGTCTTTTTTTTGTATTCAAAGCAATACAAATCCAGTGTTGCTTTACAGAACACCTGCAGCCGGCTGTAGAAATTGTCTGGTCCAGTGTAGCTCTACTTCTTTGCTGCCATTATTTCTGCCCAGAGCTCAGCGTGCTTTCCTCTTCCACCCTCTATATGTGCTTGAGAGAAGGTGACAAATAAGTAGCCAGACATGTTCACACCCTGTTCCCCTGCCATCCCCGTACTACCTCTTATTATGAACCAGCAAAGGAACTGATCAAACACAGATCCTCCCTCTCTCAGCTGAGTAAGGTGGTAGGGGGGGAAGGGGGTCTCTTTCCACAGAGCTAACAAGCTCCTTACTGAGAAAGAAGAGTGTGAGGGCGGTAAGCAGAGGGGGAGGCAAATGAAAACAGGTATCGAGAGACGAAGGTGATGGTGGAAGGAGGTGGTGGGAAGATGAATGGACGGGGAGGAAGAGAGAAGTGATGTAGAGAGTGGGTTTATGAAAAAAGAAAATGTGAAAATGGAAGCCAGAAGGGACATTTTGGAGATGGTGCAGGGAAAGAGCCAGTAAAAATTAAGAGGGGGGAGTTTGATGAAAATAGCAAAGTTTGCACAAATTGGCCTTACAAATGGAAAGGTCTAAGGTGAAGCTGGAAGCATGAATAATGCAAGAGGAGATTTAGCTGCAAAGCTTTGCCCCGGCACGGCTAAAAGACAGACAGCTGCTGGGGTTACACTAGAAAGACACTAGATTACCTCCCATTCATTCGTAACATCTGTTAAGAGGCTTATAGAGAGTATGGAATCTGCTAATACAATGACTTATCCTGTTGTCTCTGTCACCGCCATGTTTTACCTGCTGCAGGAATCAAAGCTACATTTGGGGAAGTGTTTGTTTCTTCATGTGCCATCAGAGGATCCACAGGAGTCAGGACACGTGACAAAATGCTGTTATGAATTTGCGTAATAGTAATGGACCTGTCACAATCTGGCTCAACAAGTGACAAAATAAAATATTTAAAGTGTAAAATATACAATTGTAGGTGTCTGTCAGATCACTATGTATGCAGTGTATGCGTGAGTTGAGTGGAGTGTAAAACACAAAGAAACAAATCAGTTGGCAGGCCAGAGGCCTGTACCACGGAGCAGGATTTGAGCTTATCCAGGTAACTTCAGGATTAATCCTGGGTTTTCAGTACCACGAAGGTGGTTCACTTCTTACCGGGGTAGATCTCCATGGTAACTTATGCTGAATGCCTAACTTGCTCCGGAGCAGATTATGTTTCAGAAAAGAGATCAACTCTATGAAAACGCCGCCTACTGACCAATCAACTCTCTTGGAAAATGACGTCACCATCTGTTGGAAATCCCACAGACTGTTTTATAGGCTGTTTGCAGCAGTGATGTGGAGAAACTCTTTATAGTGATATAATCCTACAGACACTGATTAAAGGCCTTAGGCTATTGTTGCCTACAGGTTTTTACAGTACAGCAGGATAAGCCTACTTAGTGCTTTGAAATGTGTTTAATATTTTTTTATTTGCTCCCAGTCCATTTCACACAGCCTGTCGCAGCCGTTAAAAAAAATGGGTTTCATTTTTCTTATGTTAGGCTGAATATTATGAGCAGTTTGGTAGGGATATTTAAATTCAAAATTTTTATATGAACGTAGGCTATTTATTTTAGGTTAGTAGCTTTCTTATAGGCCTACTACAGAGACTGTAGTCATGTAGTCCACCTCCCAACCTTTTGCGATGTGAGCGCAGGTATTGAGGTGAGTTTTCACGGCTGGATTGGGAAACCGTGGGTTGAGTTACCGAGTTGATAACCAACTTCGTGGTACCGCTCATCCCCACCGCGATTGGGGTTTGGGTTAGTTATGCCAGATAACTGAAAGACATAGGGGGTATGTTTTAACGTGCTTTGTGGAACAGGCCCCAGGAGAAGAGACAAATCAAGCAGTATCCTTTATGAGCCCCACCTGCTCAGGTGTGTTGCATCTCACACCAGGTATCAGCTCCACCCACCAAATACCTGGATTAAAGGAACAGAACACAGCAAGATACAAAGAACAAGAGAGGGCCCAAACCTGGTGCCGTCACAGACCCCAAAATGGATTAATGGTTAGGACCCTATTATGAGATTACAGCTGTGATTGATCTTTCTGACATCAGTGGAAGATTAAATTGAATACATCAGATGTGGTGATTTATGTCATGAACATTAGCCTCCGGTCAAATGTTGTGTAAACCGCTGTTGAGAGAAAAAAGGACATGAAACAAATGAGATGGGTCTTTCCTTTACTTGTTCATTTGTCTGTAAATTCTTGCGCTTGAAGGGTTAGTTGACTCAAATTACAAAACAAACAAACAACCAAAGCCATCTCATACCAAAACCATGATCATTCATCGACTGCTATATTTTGGAACCTGGCTGCTCCCGTTCAGCCAAGCCCGATCATCCGTATTGGACGATTCTGCTCCTCACGATACGTCTAATATCAACGTCCAGTGCAAGTGCAGGAAGCATTGTGGCCTATATTTAACGGGGCGAGAATTAAGGGTGTGGAAGTCGGCATGGGGGATTACTGTGTCTGACTTTCAGGAAAACTGGAGCTTGCTCCATCACAGACAGACAATTAATATTTGCCATAAGCATAATATTCCCCTAACCTTAACAATAAATTAGTTGCCATGTGCGAGAATTTTGAAAAAGCTGACATTGGTTGTAAACATTTGTAGCTGAATCAATTGGTTGATTCGGCTACAAGAGTAGTAGCGAGGTTGGGCACTGATATTGTCCTGGCTCACAGTCAGTGTTCCAGTTCATCCCAAAGGCATTGGATAGGGTTGAGGTCAGGAGTCTGTGCAGGCCAGTCAAGTTCTTCGACACTGCGACAAACTTTGAGGGCAATGTAATTTAAAATACGCAAATGTGAACTGGCTGTCAGCATTCTTTTGGCCATATAGTTTAGCTTTTATTTTATCTCGAGTTTAACAGCGCTCACTACCTATGCTAACCAATATGCATTGGATACAGATAGAGGCAAAAAAATCTCTGATACAGATATCTCAAAACTTGGACAAATAAAACGAAAACTATCTTGCATTGCTAGATACCACTGGAGACAAACCAACCCTTGAAATTCAGTAGCACTTGGCTAAGTGACAAAAAAAATCTCCTGCAAAGCTTATTCAAATAGTGCTGACCAACCAAACGGACACACTTGAGTGAAAGGATTTCAAATGTCTCAGCATGTGTTGGTATTGTTGTAGGCAGGCTGCTTTAGGAAGCACATCTGAAGAGTCCTGTGTGTGTGTGTATGTGTGCACACAGGTGCATTGTAGACACAGTGCTGGCTCAGTCTTTATTTTCATTATCAGCATTGCCTACACGAATCCCTGCCTCAAGCAAAAAAAAAGGTGTATAAAAAAAACTCAAGTGAGCTCTACAGGAGTTGATGGGTGTGTGGATGCTGTTGCAAACTGGTGTGGAAAACACCCAAAGCCAGTAGCACTTTTAATGGGGCCTGAAAGGACTTTTAGAGGCGATGTCCCTGCATTTCCTCAGAGCAGTGGTGCCTGTCTATTTTTGCAGAGTGTGATATGTATATATAAAGTTGTGTGTTTGGACCTCGGGGCTTGGTTCTTTTCCTGTGTTTCTTCTACTCGTTAGACTTCCTTTTTCCATCTCATTAGTTGAGTTCACAGTGCCAGCGAGAGGACAAAGCCTATGCTTAAAGGAACTCTGCCTTCTCAAATCACATGGGTGCTTTTCTCCAGTCGCTTCTAAAACTGTAACTCTTTTATTTACTGTAACTCATCCCCTGGATTGTCTCATGAGCACCCTATGAACAGCCAGATCAGCGTGTACCGGAAACACTCTCGAGTTTTATAGTTTAGAAATGTGCCACAGGATGTGGAGTTGATGAGCCTGCTCCCTGAGAAGATTCATTATTTCAATTTCTCATGGTTGTTATTGTGGCAAATTTGCTATACCCTTCTTGACTGAACTGATATTGTATTTCTCTGACCCCTTTTCGTACTGTCATTAACATGTGCACTTGGTGAACAAATTGAATTCCGACAGAGCAAAAATAAATCAAAACCAGGTTGAAATGTATTTAAGATGCATTAAAGGTCTGGTCAAACTGAAAGAAAAATAATATTGCCAAGTAGAAATGTAGGAAAAAGTTTGATGAGAGAGAGAGAGAGAGAGAGAGAGAGAGACTGAATCGACCAACTATAGGCAAATTAAACACATTAACATACTAATTGTTTTATGTATTTTAACATCACTACATGCTATCTATCTAGCCAAACTAGCAAGGCTGGGTTGTTTGCATGTCAAGTGTTAACTGAAGCTAACATTTTCGCTGCAAGTTTTCAATTCCAAAAATGTTCCTCAGGGAAAGGCACACAAGACTCTTGGTCTTTCTCTTTAGTTTCTCATGGTACCAGGAGCTAGCTAACACTACTAACGCAATCTCATCACCTAAATACTGAGTAATAATCCAAGCTCACAACTACGACTAGCTAGTCAGCTGCCCAGGTGTATGTTGTTCTAAATAATACATAGATGCAGAACAGATTTGATATTGTTGTTGCTCTCTAACAGGAGTTAGCTGGCTAAATTGGGGAGCAGTTGTTGAGCTTGTTTGCATAAGAGAAGCAAGTAGCATGTAATTGACTGAATGGTGAGGGGGAAGTGACGATATGGACTAAAATGTGACCTGAATTATTGTGTCATTGGCAAAAATGTCTTAATAAAGTCAAAACAGACGCTTGAAAAGGGGCATTTTGGGGAAAAAAGTGTAATAATGACATAAAAAGGAACTGATGTTATAAAAATAAGAAAGATGAAATAACATAATGATAATAAGTTGAGCTATAACATTGTTTGATTTTATAATGTTGCATCAGTCTCCTTTATTAATCATCCCTTCTCTTACTCTTTCCTCCCAGTATCAAGATGGTGCTGATGTGGACCAGTGGTGACACTTTTAAAACGGGCTACTTCCTGCTCACCCAGGCTCCTATGCAGTTCTGGATATGTGGCCTGCTGCAGGTCTTTGTGGACTTCGCCATCCTGTTCCAGGTTTACTACTATAGCCGCTACCCACAGAAACCGGTGTCCCACACCGTCTCCCACACCACCAGTGCCAAAGCCCTCTGAAAGCCTCTGCAAGCACTCCGAGGACACATCAACACTCCAAAACACCAGTGAGGAAGAACTGCGCTGTGGACATGTATAAACATACACGAGTACCAAAGCACCTTGAGATGATGCAGGCTGCTCACCCTCACCTCCAAGTATACATAAAGACACATAAACGCCCATAAATAAGGCATGAACATAACCAGATACGTTGTGGTGTCAGTGTCTACAGGGAACCTGAAGGACACTTGTTACAAACAAACTCAACCTCTTGTTTTATTTATCCAGCTGACTTCTTCTCAATGCAACAGTATGCTTGTGACTTTGAATGCCGACTTCTCAAAGAATATATCCTTGAATCAGCCTGCGCATGTGGAGAATAGTATGCACACATGAAAATATACAGTATAAAAACTGCAGATGTATGCACTGAAATCTGTGCCCAATGAAACGTGGACTAGCTTTTGTCATCCACGTTAGCTGATGATTGTCGCATGGACCCTCTGCCTTAACACACACACATTTGAACATGGCTTGCTGCATTACCAGCAATATAAATGTATGAATCAATCACAAAAAATCACCACTGAATGTACAAAGTGGCATTTGTTATTTTGTAGTTTTTCCTGACACAGTGGAGAAATGCTGGTCAGTCTACCACTTGTTGGACAGATGGTCGCCATGTGCTGTGACACACAGTCTTGTAGGATAATAGAGGAACTGTAAGAAACTAGAGGCAATCAGACTTTACCAAAAGAAGAAAAATCCCAAAGGCTTGGAGATGCAATGCATTGGCTTCTAAAAAACAAATGGTCATAAACATAAGTGGCCTTGAGGCTTATGAAGTGAACTGTAAATCGAGATTTGTATGCTGGAAGCTGTAGGAAACATCACATCACCAGTGTTCAGGCTGTCAGGATTGTTGAAAGGCCAGTGATTTTTGTACTGAAGCTGTTGATGACATTTTGTATAGAATTTTGATCAATTTAATTCCATCAACTCCAAAGGAGTCAGTTTATCCACCACATTGCCATATTCCTTAGGAGCATTTAAACTGAACACAAAGCACATCTTAGCACCCCCTTGAAAGGTCATTTTGGTTACATTAACTGTTACGTTACAGCTTTTTTTCTGCATTCAGGCAATGTCAGCAGAACACGAAGAACAGAAAAACCCACTATTATGCGACTAGGACTAGGTTCATGCATTATTCTTGGTTGGTTACTGCTAGCCTTGTGGTCACATTTAAATAGTCTAAAGTAGATACTTTTGTTGTGGACTGGATTAGTAAATATTGATGGCTTTGCAGCCATTTTACCACCAGTTTGTTGAAACTTGTGTAGTTTTTTTTCACCTGGTGGGAGACAATATCATGGTTGTCAAGATTTTCCAATACTTTTCACTCAGAATTACAACTAGGGAGCTGAGGTGAATGTTTTTTTTCCCACACTGCTCGGAATTACTGTGAGAACAATACAAGGTGGATGCTGCATTATTTAGCAATTTTGCCCATCATTCTTATCTGTAATATTAACATTATACAGATCAAGTTAATTGCTGAGATCTGGGAATGCAGCAACATTGCTGCAAGGATCATACAATCTCATAAATTATTTTGGTGAACACTGATTATTATTACCCATGGAAATTAAAGCCGAAGTTAGAAGTTTTAATGAACCACAATTATCCTTTTAGAGAGGTTCACTTAACGTTTTACAGACTGATACTTCTGAATATGCTCTGCAAAATCACATCATATTGGCTGTGGGTAACACTGACTGGCCAGTTTATCATTTATATTGCAAATCCAATAACATCCCCTGATATCCATACTCATGACTCCACCTCGCTGCGTGGTGCTGTGTTGGGCAGCTTGTACTCATCACCATTTTATCATAAAAAATTAATTTCCTGTTCAGAAGGAGAAGCTGCCACATAGCACAGTGAAGATTGTCTTTGTTATTGTTGTTTTGTAATTTTCCTCTGGTGAGGGGAGAAATGCCAAACCAGGAGGTGTACGACTGTCAGCTCTTCAGTGAACTGTGTACCAGAGCAGACCTGATTCTGTCCTCCTCTTTTAAGCCTCAAGAAATAGAAACTTCCCTTTTATTCCAGTGGGACGTGGCAAGACTTTTCTATAAATATTTCTTTCGTGGCTCTTAAATAATATAACAAAAAAAAGATGTGGAATGATCCTTTGTTTCTTAGTAGTGGATGTGCATTTTTTGTGTTCACCATATTTATTTTGTTATCCTTTTTTTACAATCTTGTAAGATAGATTGTTTTATTCAAACAGTGGTGAGAGTGTGTTGTGTGGATAATGTGAGAGACCGTTGAGACAGGTTCTTGTTGTGCTCGACAGGATCAAAAATAACCTTCACTTTAGTTACTGTTCAATTCCATGTATCTCTACTTTTTTTTTTACTTTGTTTTGTATCATTTGGTTCATTCATTTTATCATGTTTAGTTATTTTCCTATAGAAACTGCCAACTACATTTTCTTATCTGTAAAACACACACCTAGTTTATTAATGTACCAAAAATATTATTTCCAGTATGTTTCTTTTCCTTTTTACTATGTTACATCTGTTGGTGTGTATTTAGTTTTTCTATTAAACTGCCAAATGTCCACCTCAGTAACTAATGAAATCCATCAACACATGCGGCTGTTTAAACACGGAGTATCGTTGAGAATCTACTATCATGGCATTGTCTCCCAATAAAGAGGACATGGAGAGACTTGTGCGTCATGTTTTGTTTGATGGAGATGTTTGTGTCAGTGCAGACATCCACCGATGCTCCCATCAGCGGCACAGCTCTGGCAGACATCAATTGTCAAAGAAGAATAAGCCCACCGGCTGTGGTCCTTTTTGGGGTTTGAGCATGTCTAAATAATAAGCACATAAATTGTAATGTCCTGGGGTTTTCAAGTTATCCACTGGCATAGAGAGGAGACAGTAAACAGATCATAGATGTACCAGCCAAAAAAGGGGTAAAATATGGATTTGAAAAGGCATTTTCTTATGCAGAACCAGATTATTAGGTTCTCTACAATACTGTGTGTGTGTGTGTCACCACATCGGCCCTCACTGATAGAAATGTATTTAAACTTCCCTCAGTGCCTTGTGCTGTGTAGTATTAGCGGTGTCATGTCAAACCTCTTCACATGTGCATTGCTGCAACAAACTAGTCAGGATTCTTACTGATGCACTTCTCTAGGATCACAATTACTTGCAAGAAGTTTATATGTTAAGCTCAAAGACTGCAGTGCTACCTGGAGACCGTTTGGAGCACCTTGATTAGCATATTTGTTTGAGTCTGTATACTGTACTTGAAGCTGCACTAATTAATGTTTTTATATTATGGATTAAATGAGAAAAGGTTTGGATTTATGCTTGCTTTATTGTTTGTATCTTCAAGGCTTGTTTTACTTTTAATGTTATGATGAGGACTAACCCATCTATTTGGCAAACGTAATGCTGTCTCGGATAATGAGTTTTGCTGTGGTTGCTGGAGTGTAAACCTTCCCAAATCCAATATAGAGCAGACTGGAGCCAATAACATAACTCTAAATTCTACTGTGGTAGCATCCAGGACTGGCTCCTACACTACATGGTGAGGAAATACTATACAGTAGATATGCTAGTTCTGAACTGGGCTTTTTCTAACATACAGTAACAAGTAGCGTGTCTCCCTAGCCTTGGAAGTAAAGCTGGGTTATGGGTAATTGTAGGTAGTAAGCTAGTTAGCCAGATGTTAACATTTTAAGCTTATGTTTGAGTAGATAAACTTTTCAATCCATTGCTTATACTTTTGCCCTTGTGTTTTTGGGTTTAGAAAGGCAAAACAAAAAACTCCTACCTCTTTATGTAGCCTACTGTACAGAGTATTGTCTTACTTGTCTTGAATACCACTTTAGTATGAGGAAGTCATACTGAAAGTTTTTTAGCGACTAGATGGTGAATGCAGCGCTGCATTTAGCAGCTAAAAAGACTACTTTTTTCAGGAGTTGGCGACTAAACCTGAGCTAAAAGTAGAGTGACTATTGGACTCAGTTTCATAGGGTGGATAGAAACTTCAAATTAATGCTAACGTTGCTCCGTGTCTACTGGATGTGTACATATGCAACCTTTACTAATACGTTAATGCTAACACCTGTATCTTTGGACACCTTGGAACAAGACTATAATGTATCCCTTCTACACAGCCTTCAGATATATTCTCTCACTGATTTGTTATTTACAAGTGACTTTAGAAACACACTCTGAAGTGCCATTGTATATTATGAGCTGAAGGTCATGGTCATGCCCATAAGGTGAATTCAGTCTATTTCTCTCTTTAGTAGCATGATCTTAAGCTTGATGTTGGAGCCCTAACAGTGTGAACAGAAGAACCCTTGAACAGGCTACTTTTAAGTTGAACATTTCATTGGAGCACTGTCAGTATTTATCAAATTTACAGTACACTGAGCCAACATCACTCCTGGAACAGAATTAATTTATTATTAATAACGGATGTGGAAAAAAACATGAACCAAGCCACAGACAAACCAAAGTGCAGAAGTATACAGCACACATACTCTTGCAAATTTCAGAGCGTCCTTGTACATTGTTGAATCCAAACCTCTCCACATTGGAACAACTACTGTATGTTCATTATAATCTTTATTAAATTTTTCAAAAGAGGCTATGGATTTATGACGCAAAGCACAAATCCATTTAAGTTGGGTTTCTATTCAAATGATGTCACCTTGCACCATCCACTCATCAAAACAGTATTTTAATTTCTTAAAACCTAAATATTGTAGATAGTTAAGTGTTCTATGTAATATTTCCATGATTTTTAATGATTCAGTTAATCCAGTGACTGCGATTCAGAGTTGGCAGACTAAATATTAATTTATGGTATTTAAAAAAAATATCTAAACCTACTTTGTATTCTCAAGCACTTAACGCTGCTTTGATGGGTTCCAACTTGACAACAATTTGGGGAAATTTTGTTATTTGTACAAGGCACTCAACTCAAAGAAAATGAAGTGTTGTATTGGCAAATATATGAGGAAATCATGTAAGACTATGAAAATGGTTTGCAATATCTGAAATGGTTTTACACTTCATTTGGGGTTTGTTGTTTTCACTGCCTGAGGGTAGATGTTTAGCATTTGCCACAGCCAGTCAGCCTCTTTGAAGACAATCAAACTGTAATAACACCTCTCAGTAAATGTTTGCTTCTCTTTTTTCATTTGCATTCAAGTCACTTTACTCAAGTATGTAACAAGAGGATTGGCACCAACCATAGCACAATTCACTTTTAGTATCAAAGTTACCACAAAAAACATCCAAAAAAATGAAAAGAATGAGTGCAGTACTTGTAACTTTGGATTATGTAGCCTCCTATAATGACACATATACAAACCTGCCAGAATTGTGTATAGGACTGGGCAAAAACACCATTAGTTGGCCATAAGTTTTTACAATACATGGCAAGTAAAAAATCTGACCTTATGATGGTGCTACACAAAAGTTCATGAGCTCAATAATCAATCAATATGAAGTATCGTATGAGTATCCATACCATATTTCGTAGAAATCTTCATGGCATGGAAGTTGCTCTTAATCAAAGTGTTGGTCAATCTGATATATATCTACCTACATATATATATATATAACTCTTAACTTAGGATCTCCTTCTAGCAAACGGCGCAGAGCAGAGCAGTGCCGAGCACAATCCAGGTGTCATTGCTAGTTTTCAATCAACAGAGTTATGTTGTGCAATGTACTTGTGCCCACCTGTGCACCCATGGGAGTGTTGGTCTTAAAATGAGGTGTGGTCACCCGCATTGTTGGCGCATTGCTATCTTAAGACAGCGATTACGCCACTGACCAACAAAAACCTAAAGAGTCCAGTCTAAAGACTTGGTATTAAAAGGGCGCATTATTCAGATAGTAAGATGCTCCCAATTAAAAAAGACATTTATGGACGAGGTACAGCTCTTCATCGATTATTTAAATCTCCCTACACTCTGACAGGATTGGTCAAGATGCACTGACAGCAGCCTCTCAAATCAGTGATGTAAATTGTTAAAGAAAACACTCATACATCAATACAATACACAAAGAAATCACCTGCAAGATAGAGATGTGTATCACGACCAGTTCATCGTAGTTTATTAAAATGCAGCGCAGTGAGGATACAGACGTTTCATAGTGGATCTATCTGTCTGTCTGTCACTATTAACAAAGACTCCAGTCTGCAGTGTAGTTCATACATTTCACATATAAACTACAAAATTGTGGAGTAACATTTGGCTTCATGATCAAAGTTTTTTATATCATTTCGACACTTAAGTCATTCTCGCACACGCACTCTCTCTCCGCTTGTCCACATAAGCTCTCTCTCTCTGTCTGCTGTGAGTCTGCAAAACACTTTTTCATTTATTTATATTTTATTATTATTTATTGTGTTTTTATAATGCACCTTTAATCTGTACTTGGATTTTAAAAATAATGGGAGAAAAAACACTTATTGGTATTATTATGTTACGCCCAAAACACACCCATGATTAATTAAGAGTAAGTCCTTTTTGAACCATGCGTCAGACGCGGCGACCGTTTTTTTTTTCTACCTAGCAAACGTGGATCTGGACACAACCTAAATGCACCTGCGTCATACACTTCACGCTGTGTGCTTAGATTGTTAAAATAGGGCCCTAAGATGCAGTTGAAAGCTCTGAAAAAAGCAAGTAAGTGGTCCTTGAGTTAGGATGAAAGTGATGATAAAAATGAGCAAGAATGAAACTACACACTCAAATCCACCTTTGGATTACTAAAAGGGTTATCTTTACGCTGTGAATAATGGTAGTAGCCTATGATTGCTTAACATGCTATATAAATAGTTCAACATTTTGGGAAATACACATGTTGGCTTTCATGGCAAGAGTTGATGACTTGATAAGATTGATACCAAACTCATTTCTGTTTGTGAAATATAAAGATACAACCATCAGGCAGTTAGCTTAGTTTAGCATAAAGACTCGAAACATGGTTGAACAGCTAGCTCGGCTCACTCCAAAGCTGAAAAATATTCGTAACAGCCCTTCTAATACTCACTAATTAACATTGTGTAAAAACCAATGTGTTATTTAGGGAGCTTTTTTATCTTTTGGACAGAGCCAAACTGTTTACCCTAGTTTCCAGTAGCTCTGCTAAGCTAAGCTATGGTAACTGTGTCCTGGCTGTACCTCACATTTATTTTGTGTTACTATGTTGGAGATGAATTAGCTCTCCTTCATTGCAAGTAAATGTGCTGACGTGTAGATGTGTGAACCTTATATAACAGAGTCCCGGGTACGATAAGTTATTCGGTTTGGCCAAAAACAGTACAGACTGAATGGAGATGATATTGCACATAGGTAATAAACTACATGACTGACATCTCAGCATTACTTCAGTCACTCCTCTCAAATGCAGCTAAATGAGGAACATTAATTATTAGTCTGAGGTCTGAATAACGTGATGTTTTGTCATTAGATTTCCTTTTGCACAGACTTATCTCAAGTCTAAATCATTCAGTCATTGAGAGTACTTTCAGTCATTTTTTTAATCTCATCACTTGAGTTGTTTAATGATGAATATTGTACTGTTACCCCTAAAGTAAAACTTGTGAAAAAAAAGACGTCTGCAACTCTGATTTCAGAAACTCAGATAGACTCTGGTGCACAAGCGCTTCCCATGATCAAA